ACAAATAAAGAATGAGGCATAAACAATGGATATTATTGTTCTAGCTAGCCAATCAAAATGACATTTATTGGATCCAGGGAGACTACAGTTTCAAAAAAGTAGAAATGTTACTGTTAAAGTAACATATGAAGATGTGTGTAGACTTTTAATGAAGTTCTTTTCTCGCATTCGGATACTATAGGAAATCAGGACTACGAGATAATTTATCCCGAAAGATTACATCATAGTCGCTTCAAAAGGGATCTTTCTACAGCTACAGGGGTGAGYGTTCTAATCATGCTAATACAAAAAGGAGAAAGCTATTACTAGYRTTGTTGGTTCATTTTACTGGATTTTTATCTGTTATGGTTGGCGGCTATGATTCAACACTCACGCTAACGTACACCAACACTGCATTYATTCTTGCAGGAAGGACATGAAGATTCAGCGTCTTTTGCTTTGAGAGCCTTCAATAAAAATTGGATTCTTGATGCAAATCGTAACAAGTGAGATTTTAATGTCAAATCAATGCAGCAGAGACGTTTTTATACGTAATYGACCGTTTTGATTATAAAGCTGGTTGGGTGATGGATATTGCATGTTTTCAATCATTCCCATGAGATYGTTTTTTAGTTGATTGAACAATAGATATTGATAAGAAATAATCGAAGTTTAACGAAGATGGCCGCAGTGACTTATATYGCAGACGCAGAATTGATTGATTGATTAGGTTGATAGACTTGCGAGTTGACGSMCTGATGGATTTATTTGCTTATTCAGACAACTGACCCCAAACACGTTTGTACTACGACAGTTTGATTCTGATGATACTGAAATCATATCAAGGGTAAGAATTCSAAATTTAAAGCGTTTCTATTTGATAAAAAGTTGCCTGAAACTTAGAACGTGAAGCGAAAAGTATCAAGACTCTAGATGTAGGACCTAGATGGGTAAAATTCCGTGGAAAACTCCCTTAGAAATGGGGAGGGGCTCCTCGTCGGAAATTGCAATCATTCTCAAAATAAACTGCTGTGCAACAACATGTATGAAAATGGCTTTATCTGAACACTTCAATATAAATGTATGACTCATAAATGTGGGAAAATATTTGTCTTGGAATGATCCCACATCAGATAAATTTTGATTCAAAAGATGGAAGAACAAAAGGATGGAGTAAATGACGTCATATACTCCAACATTTTGTGCCTAAATCTTAAGGATTTGTATCAATATCTTCTTGATATCTGTTGCTTCACGATTATTAGACCCATATGGATAGGTCTATTTGGTTTCCAAGTCTTTTATAATGTTTCGCAATGTTTGTCCAAGTAGCCCTTTAAACACGTTTGGTTGCGTCCTTGCCTCATGCTTCTTGTTTGTGTTATTCTATTCTAGGTTTATTATTCCTTTTTGCATTTTGTTTCATTGCTTATAGAAAATCTATCCGGTTGTTGTTTCAGGAAGCTCCGGAAGGTTGTCATTACCAAGGTTCTATTCGTGGCAATCCAGACTCTGTGGTTGTTTTAAACACATGCAGTGGATTAACGTGAGTTACATCGGACAAATTAGAACATCATTTTTAACAAGACATTTTTCTTGTAAACGGATAAATATAACGATAAAATAACGAGTTATAAACCGAGAAATTGGCAGTCAATCAATAGATCCTGCTTCCACTGAATATCATGATGAAATACTATTTTACCTGTGCACCTGTTATTTCCATGGTCAGCTCTTTTTTTTGACTGGCTTTAATCCTCTTTCCAGGGGGATGATTGACGATGGAACAGAAAGCTATAACATTGAGCCTCACGACAATTACCAGGTATGGTCCAGATCTATTTTATCTTTGGACCTTTATATGTAAAAGTATATAGTAGAGTGTCTCGACTTCGTCTTGTGACGCACCTCATCTMATTTTTTTGACGCATTTGTGCATCTTTTAAGAAAAATGAAATCCATTTGTTAGATAGACCGGTTTTATCTAGATACAGACCTTGAATTCGTAATTTCAGGGAAATGCAGCCCCACGAATAACAATGAAAACCTATTCAACGAGATATTTAACTTTGTTAATGTGGAAATATCATGGAACACAATTTCGAATTTTAAAGCATTGCACGCGTGACAATAGTCGAGTTTC